TCAAACTCTAAAAGCCTGCCCAATGGCCGCATGAGGCTTTGGGGGGACACACAGACACAAACCGTAACACATGGGAGAAGGCAAGGGGAAGCCAGGATATTATGACAAAGGTCAGAACAGCAGTTGTCTCTGCGGGCAGGCGAGACTGTGGTGGGGAGGGACAAGGGGGACCCTGGAGCTGGCAAGTTTCCACTCTGAGCGCTCATGGCTGCCACGCAGGTTTTCACTTTGTAACTCCTTGTGAAATGGAATACTTACGGCGCCTTTCTATCTGCTGTTACATCCCACTGTACTAAAAGTGCTCCCTTCGTGTCACTGTGAAAACAGTGGTGCTCATGGAGACCTTTATTCTCGAAGGATGAAGAAAAGGCACGCTTTTCAAGGGTAGGGGAAAAAGCGATCAGAAAACATCGCAGCTGCTAAAGACGCTAAAAATGCAGGTAAGGAGCTTCAGAGGAACAGTGATTAAACAGCTGTGACCCACAGCTCGAGGAGGAGGAGGACGGCAGCAGCTTCTGCTAAACAATCTCTCAGGACTGTGACCCTGAAAAGCGCACGGCAGTCTTCATCCCTACCCGAAAGGCACAATTTTTAATCCTTACCAAGGATCCAATCACACCTTCTGGTATTCCCCAGTCCCCAGAAGCTTCTTTAACCTAGCCAGGGATATTTGATGGTAGTGACAGAAGGAAAACGGTTTGAAAGGAAGCTATTTTCAAGGTAGTGAAGAACTTCTAGTGAAGAGTGACTTTGCCACAGTTAAAGAAAGCTGGTGTGACAAGCTGAGAAAGTTCAATTCCAGGGGCGACAGGCTTATCAAAAAGAGCCCTCACACCACGGGACGGGAGCGGGTTCAACCCAATGCGTGGAGCTGACATCGGAAGTTGGCTGGTGACTAATTTCGGTGCAGTTGGCTCTAATAAGAATGCAGCAAGCAAAACTGAATTAAAAATGTTTGCTTTTGTTATGAACTCTTCTCACAGACGGGGCAGGATGAGGAAGCACCGTCTGTCCCTCACTGTTGAGAGCAGGCATGTCACCCAAGGCAAAGGTCAAGTGGGTCACACGAGCAGGAGGAAGCAGCTTGAGGCAGGGAGACCTCTGCCTTCCACCTCCTACTCGCCCCCTTCCGCCGAGGGACAGGTCATTTCTTCGTGTCTGTTCTCTGTATCTCACACCGAACAGATTCTGATCATAAAACGTCACAAGTAGTCTGTGAGCGCTTCCTCATGCTTAACAAACCTACTGACATCTTTGGTTAACAATGTACTAATATTTTTCCTGTCAGTGAGAAAAGCTAGCCTGCTTATCACTTGAGAAATAAAAGCTAAGTTCTGGCCGTTGAAATTGCACGTGGTTTGCTGTTCCACCCTCAGGTGGTCAGATCAGGATGACACGCAATGAAGGGGGGCAGCCTTTGAGCTCTGAGACATCGAAGTAGCAGCAACCACTGTTCCTTTGATTCACTCTCCGTCTGCTTCTGCTCTATGTATTCAGAAGATTGCAAAATTATTCCAGCAGCTGACAGCCAAACTCGCAGGTACTATCAGCAAAAGACCTCACATTGAATATCCTTCCCTTCCCTTCCCTTTCCTTCCCTTTCCTTCCCTTTCCTTTCCTTTCCTTTCCTTTCCTTTCCTTTCCTTCCCTTCCCTTCCCTTCCCTTCCCTTCCCTTCCCTTCC